ATGTTACAAGGTTGTTCTAACAAGTCTGATACAGTCGTGATATAACAAGAATGTTACAAGGTTGTTCTAACAAGTCTGATACAGTCATGATATAGCAAGAATGTTACAAGGTTGTTCTAACAAGTCTGATACAGTCATGATATAACAAGAATGTTACAAGGTTGTTCTAACTTTTTGCCAACTTGGGACAAGCAGTGCGAACACAACTTGTTGACGGCTTGTAGACAGACTTGCTACAAGATGTGAGATTTTACGCGTGTGCTAACCGATTAAGGGTTTGATATGTTGTTGGAACAACTTGTAACAACTCTGTTGAGCTCAACAACCGCGTAGCAACTTGTCAACCAGCTGGGAACAAGCAGTGCGAACACATCCTGTTGGCAAGTTGTTGGAACAGCATTGCTACAAGTCTGCTGCAGGTTTGTTTCAACTAATTGTGCGTTTTTACGTGCGTATTTCTAGTCTTTTTGAGTGAAAGCATTTTGTAAGTGGACCAAGTGGTTCTATATTGTTATTTTCTCAGGCTGTTCGTGTAACCAAGCCGAAAATTCCCGAAACAATTCGTAAAAATTACGAACTAATGTGAGTACTTATTAAACATTTCAGTTATTCAAAATACTATATAAGTATGATCTTTTCTGTGTTGGTGTAATGTACTCAGGTAAATACGATGCTTGTGATGTTACTCTGAGTGTATATCCACACCGGGCAAGCTTGAAAAATATGCCTGGCCACGGTAGGAATCGAAGCTACGACCTTTGGAATACTAGTCCAATGCTCTGCCAACTGAGCTACGCGGTCAGGTCGGTTCGAGTATGTGATATTTCGGAACAGAATCTAGTTCCTTCGATATCGATGTAATCTAATAAAAACACAAAAAATCATGATTATTAGATTACATTGATATCGAAGGAACTAGATTCTGTTTAACAAATATAAAACATTTTCCGTGTTGATATACAGTTATATCAACACGAGTGGAAATTGGGAAAACGAGAAATTGTGTGGAAACACGACGCCCGAAGGGCGGAGTGTTTTCACACAATTTCGAGTTTTCCCAACTTCCACGAGTGTTGATATAACTATATATCAATACGGAAAAAATGTTTTATATTTGTTTTATAATATAGCAATGTCAAAAGCCCGAAGAATAAGAACAATTTCCGTGTTACAAGCGGCGGAAAATTTCCCGTGTTGACATGGAGTTATATCAACACGGCTCTTAGCCAATCAGCGTTCAGAATTTACAAATGCTATATTATAATTAACAAATATCACATACTTGAACCATATTTTTCAAGCTTGCACGGTGTGGATATACACTCAGAGTAACATCACAAGCATCACTATATAAGTATATTAAAACTTTTCCTCAATACTGATTAACCAAAATTGCACAAACAGTCATCAAACTCATGTCACAGAAGTGATAAAGGACTTTTTTTTACTTTTTAATGGTTGCATCAGCAACATTTTTACTAGGAAACCCCCACCGCCCCCCTCCCTCGCCATAAATAATGACCGCTCCTCTTGACTGCCCTTTATTTCCAAAATAATCGGTTGTAGACAATCGGAAAATGCAGGAATTTTTACATACTAGATAAAACATGACCAGCCGATCTTTATCTGATATACAAACTCGAGCCGAAGATCGGATGCGAATGTTTTAACGTGCTTAAAAAACGACCCGTCCTATGAGTTAATTGGCGAAGTAAGTTTAAAAATAAACATTGTCTAAACCGAGAAAATCATAACTGAAGTTCATGTAAATACGATTTACAAACATTGATTAAACATTCATTTCTTTTGAATTCTCCTCGTGAATTATTAATACCCACTCAATAATTATGGCGTCAATTATTTTTACACAAAAGGGAGGCGGAAAAGACGAAGCTATTGATTGCTCAGCAGAAACAAAGAGTCGTAGAGAAAGAAGCGGAAACCGATAGAAAGCGAGCTGTTATTGGTAAGACAATAGCGAGCTCAGAGGGATATGGCAATATAAATGAAGTTTGTCTTAATAGATAGTTGTTTATAAAGTTTGCAGTTATAATTTTACGTGGTGTTTCCACAAACAATAGTATTATAATTTAAAGTTTGTTCGTTCACTGCAACCAGGTATATCAATCATGTTTCGCTCGCTACTCTGGTTTAAATAAATGATTTGGTACACGGCTAAAAGAACATCAAAAGGCTGTTACAACTTTAGACAAGGGAAAATCAGCTTTAGCCGAACATGTATGTTACACTAAACACGAGATTGCGTGGGAAAACTCTAAAGTAATTACCACCAACAATCGCTATGGTCAAAGACTTTGCCTAGAAGCGTGGCATATAAATATGAGTAATCATGCTTTGAATAGGGATGACGGTGCCTATTTGCCAGAGGAAAGGTTCGAATCCCTCCGTGGCCGGGCATATTTTTCAAGCTCGCCCGGTGTGGATATGCACTCAGAGTAACATCGCAAACATATATGCATCTCATTGGCAGGTGACGTCATCCCTTGGGTATTTAAGAAGCCACGATTGCAATTTTAGATCACCCCTGATGAAGACACTATACTGGAGTATCGAAACGTTGGGTCTTGATTAGAATTCGACTGGGCTTTGTAATCATTTATTTAAACCAGAGTAGCAAGCGAAACAAGAATAGTATTATAAGTTTGTCTTATTTGAAAGAACATTCAAAATGATATATGAACTTCCTTAACAATTATTCCGTATCTTTCTTGGTTTTCGAAATAAATCGACTTATTTTAATCAAAAGCAGCGTGCATTCCGCCATCTTGGATATGCATTCGATATCATTTATATTATTTAATTTAGTTATTGGGGGGGAAATTCAAGTCCCGGATGTGTATTCGTGTTCCCATTGGTGACGAGTTTCAATTCAGCCAATGAGAGCACGATTTTATATCCCGGACTTGAATTTGCCCCCCCCCCCCCATTAGCTGCGTTCCCAATTTTTAAACTCGATGCCTCCTCTAGTGTTATTTACAATCTCTATGTTCGATATGCGAATAAGCGAAAATTTTATCTTGCAAATCACATGTCATTATCAATATGAAACTCGATGTTCCGAAGTCTTTTTAGCACTCAATTAACTCGCAACATTTTAAGAAACTTTTCGAAGAAATTTAGTCCCACATGAAGAAGTTTTAACAAGTTTACCCTGCTTGTGACGTCATCAAAAACTCAGTTAATCAGGTCAATTATAATACCAAGATGGCAGACTGCATTCTGTTTTTGTCAAAATATTTCGAAAACCAAGCAAGGTACGAAAACGTTGTACAGGGTCTTCATCACAACATAAGATTTTGTCTATGATATGGTCGGTTCATAATCTATTCGTGACACATAACTTAATAGCCTGCTCGGCGTAAGAATCACACATCTTGAAGCAAGTTTGCCAACAAGCCGTCAGCAAGTTGTGTTCGCACTGCTTGTTCCTAGTTGTTGTAACAAGTTTGAAACAAGCTGTTAACAACTTGTAACAAGCTTGATGGCATTATCAGACTTGTCGCAAGGTTGTTCCAACAAGTCTGATACAGTTATGATATAACAATATTGTTACAAGGTTGTTCTAACAAGTCTGATACAGTCATGATATAACAAGAATGTTACAAGGTTGTTCTAACAAGTCTGATACAGTCATGATATAACAAGAATGTTACAAGGTTGTTCTAACAAGTCTGATAGAGTCATGATATAACAAGAATGTTACAAGGTTGTTCTAACAAGTCTGATACAGTCATGATATAACAAGAATGTTACAAGGTTGTTCTAACTAGTCCGATACAGTCATGATATAACAAGAATGTTACAAGGTTGTTCTAACAAGTCTGATACAGTCATGATATAACAAGAATGTTACAAGGTTGTTCTAACAAGTCTGATACAGTCATGATATAACAAGAATGTTACAAGGTTGTTCTAACAAGTCTGATACAGTCATGATATAACAAGAATGTTACAAGGTTGTTCTAACAAGTCTGATACAGTCATGACATAACAAGAATGTTACAAGGTTGTTCTAACAAGTCTGATACAGTCATGATATAACAAGAATGTCAACAAGGTTGTTCTAACAAGTCTGATACAGCCATGATATAACAAGAATGTTACAAGGTTGTTCTAAGAAGTCTGATACAGTCATGATATAACAAGAATGTTACAAGGTTGTTCTAACAAATCTGATACAGTCACGATATAATAAGAATGTTACAAGGTTGTTCTAACAAGTCTGATACAGTCATGATATAACAAGAATGTTACAAGTTTGACAACACAAGGTTGTAACAATATTGTTATATCATGACTGTATCGGACTTATTGGAACAACCTTGCAACAAATCTGATAGTACCAACAAGCTTGTTACGAGTTGTTAACAATTCGTTCCAAACTTTGTTGACAACTTGGGACAAGCAGTGCGAACACAACTTGTCGACCGCTTGTTAGCAGTCTTGCTACAAGATGTGAGATTTTTGCGTGTATATGCGCTACATATACAGGGTGTCCCGAAATAAAGTAAAGTATATAACGAAGCCGCTAAGCGCTCCGTTTTCGTCTCGCTCCGTTTGGAGACCGTCCTGAAACTGTTCACGGCAAAAGTGACTTTTTCAAATAAGGAGTTTAATTAATTAAGCTTCACGTTTCCGGGAACGGCAAACGGCAGATTCGTTCTTTCTTGGCAAAATTTTCGTTGAACGTTTACGTTTCATATTTTTTTTTGTTGTGTCGAAAGAATAATTATGTAGTTCAGGTTTAAAACAGCAAGTTAATTTACTCTTTATTGCCTGATACCGTACGTAAAATCTTTCTTTGCCTGGCGTTTGCCGTTTGACGTATAACGCGAAGCTTAAACTCGCTAAGAGAGAGTAAAATTTAAACTCAAACTCTTCATTTCTACTCAGGCGTTGTGTGAACGCGACGGCCTAAGGCCGACTACTCACACTGTACAAGTTTTGCCTAAAACTGTCGCATGCAACCTGCTTACAACTTGAGTTGCACTGTGTAAAACAAGCACACAACTCACCTACTATACGACAACATGGACGCCGAGTTGTGTGCTGATTTACAAGTTGTAAGTATGAATTGCATGCGACAGTTTTGTGGATTTTAATTAAATCGACCTATAAGCATTACAGTGGTGGTGTTGAGCTTCAGAAATATCAATAGACCTTTCCCCTTTTAAGTGAAATTTTGATCTAGACTAGCCTAGACAAAAATTTCATCACAGCTTGAAAGAGCATCACAAAATTAGTAATATTCCGAAGTTTCGTTGCGAAATGTTGTAAAATGCGGATAATATAGCCTTGCGAAGTTTGCCGTTTTTCAGTCATTTTGTATTATTTACAATGGATAATAAAATAAATTTATTAATAAATTTATTTTATTATCCATGGTATTACAAACGGGAAATTGATAACCAGTTTGATCATTTGATTATCAATTTCCCATTTGTAATGCAAAATGACTGAAAAACGGCAAACTTCGCAAGGCTATATTATCCGCATTTTACAACATTTCGCAAAGAAACTTCGGAATATTACTAATTTTGTGATGCTCTTTCAAGCTGTGATGAAATTTTTGTCCAGACTTGTCTAGATCAAATTTTCACTTAAAAGGGGAAAGGTCTATTCTGATAGCAGCAAGAACTAGACGTCTCACTTTCATTCATTTGATTTCAAATAGAAGACTACAACATATATTAATGAAAATAATTAACATTATTTTCTTACTCTGATAATTGCAGGTTGACCAAATTGTTCACCACCGTCTGCTGTAGTACCTGTACGATAGCTGGGAGCTTATTAAGCATGTAGGACGGAAACACGATGGCGACGGCAACCAATACAACGAGTCAATAAAAAGAACTAAATAATTAAAGTCCCAGGGGAGTTTCAGACGTAGTCTTCGCTCTGTTTACAACGTCAAATCACAAATTTTCACGTCTTTTATACAACGCCTGCAGCATTTCAAGCCGTAACAAGTACAACTTACTTACAGATTTATTTACACAACATAGTTGTAAAGTACAATCTGTTGATTTTCAAATGGGGCGTGTTATACATACAAACTATTTTAAGTCACATCCTAACCTAAGTCTCTGGTATAGTGGACATACTGCGTTTAAATTGGCAAAGCGAAGATGCCTTTTTCGCTTCAGAAGGAAGACTATTCCAGAGCATTGCACCACTATACTTAAAACTTCGTCTAAGATAGTTTGTTTTAGGTTTTGGAAGTGCTAGATTAGTATCTTACTTCGAAGATTATATTCTCTATTAAGATCTTTAATTTTTATAAATTTTTCTCTAAGACTTGGAGCGGACTGCTCATTAAGAATTTTGTACATCAAAACGCTCTTCAGCCTATGACGTCTTACATCGAGCGTCGACCATTGCAAATCCTCCAGTACATTTGCCGAGTTGATATCAAATCTTGCTCCTGTTATAACTCGCGCCGCTCTATTTTGGAGCACCTACAACTCAAAATTCGGTTCAGCAGAACTCTTCCCAAACATAAAGCCAATGTTTTCAACTTCTTATACTAGAGACCTTACGATTTTAGGACGCGGCAACGCGACGGCCAAAACAAACTCCTTCAAATAAATGGTAGTAAAGATAGTTCGTCGTATATTATCAATCGTATGAATTTAATCCAGTTTTAGAAGTTGAAGACATGGGTTTTATGGTTGGGAAGAGTTCTGTTAAAGTTGCTAAACCCAGTTCGAAGTTGCACTTGTTGCGGCTTGGAATGCAGCCGTTGTATCAAGACGTGAAAATCTGTGATTTAGCGTTGTAAACAGAGCGAGGACAATGTTTAAATAACTCATATATTGTAATTATTCAATTCTTATCAATGATCTATTGTATTGGTAGCCGTTGCCGTCCTAAAATCGTAAGGTCTCTACTGTATTAAATTCATACGAATTATAATACACGACAAGTTTTCTTTACTATCATTTATTTAAAGGAATTTGTTCTAATGCTTAATTAAGCTCGCTAGTGCTTAGCAAGACAGAGCGATAAGATAATTGACATTTCTACCCACCTTCTAGGAAGCAATGTTTTCGGTTTCGCCATCGGGGCAAAGTAATCCCCGGAACGGAAGGTTGGCGAGATGTCCAGGGCCATTTTGATTTGCCAGTTTTCGTGGAGGCGAGAACGCCGCGTTCTGATTGCTCAATTAGTGACAGCGCAAGGAAATTAATTAGATTAATTAGTATGTCGTCAATCGTCATTGTTGTTATTCGATAATCAACTCGAAAAGATTATCGAGATATGATAGGCCTGATGACTATCCATCTCTATCATTTGGGGTGAAAACAAGACGAACTACACAAGCAAAAATCTCACATCTTGTAGCAAGTCTGCCAAAAGCCGTTGCACTGCGGTCCCAAGTTGTCAACAAGTTTGGAACAACTTGTTACCAGTTGTAACATCCTTAACTGTTGAAATCAGACTTGTTGCAAGGTTGTTCTAACAAGTCCGATACAATTTTTTTTTTTTTAAAATCATATTACTAGAACACATTGGCATTGAAGGAACTAGATACTGTTCCGAAATATCACTTACTCGAACAGTCCTGACCGCGTAGCTCAGTTGGAAGAGCATTGGGCTAGTATTCCAAAGGTCGTAGGTTCGAATCCCACTGTGGCCGGGCATATTTTTCAAGCTCGCCCGGTGTGGATATGCACTCAGAGTAACATCGCAAACATAAGTCCGATACAGTCACGATATATAGCAATATTGTAGTTTGTTTTATGCTGTTTTATGTTTTAAGTTTTTGTTTTATGTTTTAAACAACTTGTAACAAGCTTGATGGCATTATCAAACTTGTTACAAGGTTGTTCTAACAAGTCCGATACAGTTATGATATAACAATATTGTTACAACCTTGTGTCCTCAACCTTGTAACATTCTTGTTATATCATGACTGTATCAGACTTGTTAGAACAACCTTGTAACATACTTGTTATATCATGACTGTATCAGACTTGTTAGAACCTTGTAACATTCTTGTTATATCATGACTGTATCAGACTTGTTAGAACAACCTTGTAACATTCTTGTTTTATCATGACTGTATCAGACTTGTTAGAACAACCTTGTAACTTTCTTGTTATATCATGACTGTATCAGACTTGTTAGAACAACCTTTTAACATTCTTGTTATATCATGACTGTATCAGATTTGTTAGAACAACCTTGTAACATTCTTGTTATATCATGACTGTATCAGACTTGTTAGAACAACCTTGTAACATTCTTGTTTTATCATGACTGTATCAGACTTGTTAGAACAACCTTGTAACATTCTTGTTATATCATGACTGTATCAGACTTGTTAGAACAACCTTGTAACAAGTCTGATAATGCCATCAAGCTTGTTACAAGTTGTGAACAGCTTATGATTTATGTGTGTGTTCGTGTTATGTACACACGCAAAAACGCACAAGTTGTTCCAGGTCTGCAAACAAGTTGTTACAAATCTGTTCACAAGCTGTCGACAAGTTGTGTTCGCACTGCTTGTTCCCAGTTGTTGTAACAAGTTTGGAACGTGCTGTTAACAACTTGTAACAAACTTGATGGCATTATAAAACTTGTTACAAGGTTGTTCTAACAAGTCTGATACAGTCATGATCAGGTTGTAACAATATTCCTATACCATGACTGTATCGGTTACAATATCAACAAGGTTAATTGTTATAACTTACAAGTTGTTAACAGCTTGCTCCAAATTTGTTGACAACTTGGGACAAGCAGTGCGAACACAACTTGTTTGACGACTTGTTGGCAGACTTGCTACAAGATGTGAGATTTTTACCTGTGTACTCAGGTGAATATGATGTTTGTGGTGCTACTCGAGTGTGACTGACCAAAGGGCGGGTTCGATTCCCACCGTGGTTAGGCAAACTTTTCAGCTTGCCCGGTGTGGATGCACACTCAGAGTGACATCACAAACATTTTTAACAGCTTGTTTGTAACAACTTGTTGGCAGCCTTGTTACAAGATGTGAGATTTTTACGCCTGTACACCCGTAAAAATCTCAAAACTTGTCAACAAGATGTGTTCGCAAAAAGAGATGGAAAATTCGGTGTACAATTTGTTGCAGCTAAGTCAAGGGTTGCACCACTCAAAGAGCTCACAATTCCTCGCCTCGAGCTTCAAGCCGCAGTAATAGGAAGTCGTCTCGGTAAAACCATTCAACAGGAATCTCGTAGCTAGCCTACGAAACGTGTTTCTGCTGGGGTCTACACCGTAGGCTAGCTCGTAGCAAGATTGTCAACAAGTTGTAACAATGTTGTTATTTTATCAATTTGCAATTACGTCATACCATTGCAAGGAGGTGTCGGGTTCGCCTCACACTCTTTTGATGTTATGTTAAAAACGGTTTTTGGAGATTTGCAGTCTTCTATCTCAGCTCTGCCTTCCGAATCGCACTGCAGATATTTACTGCATTCGGTTGTCGGGTATTTTTTCCCACGGCGATTCGGTGGATCTCCACATTTTTCTAATAAAATGAAAAAAAAACAATAGTTTAAATAAATTGCCTACATTGGCCTATACTAGGAGTTACTACAGCAAAGGGAAATGCTTCCGTATGGCCATGTCAGAACTTCTGGCCAGAATTCGTAATTTGTATATCACGGCTTCAAGCATGAACAGTGAATTATATAAAGCGACGTTGTTAATCGCGAAATTTGAGAATAAAGTAGGTCGGTTTGCAACTTGCCTCAATCTCTGGTTGCATAACAAAGTCTGTCGAAGTATTTATTGTAATGCTGGCCTGATTTCAGTTACTGCCTATTCTGCATTTTCAATCAATTTGTACAGAGCTAGTTTTAAGACATTTATCTATTGATATTATCAGACTTGTTGCAAGGTTGTTCCAACAAGTCCGATACAGTCATGATATAACAATATTGTTACAACCTTGTAACATTCTTGTTATATCATGACTGTATCAGACTAATGTTAGAACAACCTTGTAACATTCTTGTTATATCATGACTGTATCAGACTAATGTTAGAACAACCTTGTAACATTCTTGTTATATCATGACTGTATCAGACTTGTTAGAACAACCTTGTAACATTCTTGTTATATCATGACTGTATCAGACTAATGTTAGAACAACCTTGTAACATTCGTGTTATATCATGACTGTATCAGACTTGTTAGAACAACCTTGTAACATTCTTGTTATATCATGACTGTATCAGACTTGTTAGAACAACCTTGTAACATTCGTGTTATATCATGACTGTATCCGACTTGTTAGAACAACCTTGTAACATTCTTGTTATATCATGGCTGTATCAGACTTGTTAGAACAACCTTGTAACATTCTTGTTATATCATGACTGTATCAGACTTGTTAGAACCTTGTAACATTCTTGTTATATCATGACTGTATCAGACTTGTTAGAACAACCTTGTAACAAGTCTGATGCCATCAAGTTTGTTACAAGTTGTTAACAGCTTGTTCCAAACTTGTTACAACAACTGGGAACAAGCAGTGTGAACACAACTTGTCGACAGCTTGTGAACAGATTTGTAACAATTTGTTACCAATCTGCAAACAAGTTGCAACAAGGTTGTTGTGAAGCCGATATCAGGATGTGTTCGCACTGCTTGTTCCCAGTTGTTGTGACAAGTCTGGAACAAGTTGTTATCACCTTGTTACAAGGTTGATGACGGTAACAGACTTGCTACAAGTTGTTCCAACAAGACTAATACAGGCTGTTCGTAACAAGTTGCCACGAGCTTGTTGTCATCAACTTGTTAACAACTTGTTACGTGCAGACGATATCAGACTTGTTGGAACAACTTGTTGCAAGTCTGTTGGCCTCATCAACCTTGTTACAATATGATAACAACTTGTGTCAAACTTGACAAGGATTTTGAAGACAAGCTCTGAATAATTCATAAATAGTCGCATTATTACGTTCATGCATGCTTGCTATTTGTATGGAAGAAAAAACATTCTCAAATTCATTAATAATTCATGAGTAATTCAGCCAATGATAATCACCTATTTAATCACAAGATGCCATTTGGATACTTGATGAAAGTCACTAGTGTTTTCATCAAATATCTTAATTACGCATGCAAAATTACTTGAATAGAATTCCTAATTACGTTATGCTTGGTTAAGAATTCTATTCAGATCAGCAAACGAAAACATTCTGTCACGTCTCGATTCATTTGAGAAGCCATATAAACAACTCGAGCTCGTGTCTCACCGGGATATCCAAACACTCGAAAACAATGTATGAAAACACTCGCGCTTCGCGCTCGTGTTCTCATACATTGTTTTCAAGTGTTTGGATATCCTGGTGAGACACGAGCTCTCGTTGTTCATATATTACATCTTGTGTTTCTTCAGACATATTCAAGAACATCTTAATAATGAAGAAGAGTTCCCCAAAGATGGACAGTTTGCAGAAGACATACAAGCCATAAAAAATGGTGATGACACGAAAGGTCTGTCTTATAGCCTGGACCTCTAGGGAAAACAGTTTAAAGCTATCCAGTATAAATAAAGTTTGTTTAGTTTAGGTTTCCTCCTGTAGTAATAGTACTCACACTGGATCAATAAGAGATGATCCTTACTGGACCTCTAGGAAGAACAGTTTAGAACTGATAGAGCTATCCAGTATAAATAAAGTTTGTTTAGTTTAGGTTTCCTCCTGTAGTAATAGTACTCACACTGGATCAATAAGAGATGATCCTTACTGGACCTCTAGGAAGAACAGTTTAGAACTGATAGAGCTATCCAGTATAAATAAAGTTAGTTTAGTTTAGGTTTCCTCCTGTAGTAATAGTACTCACACTGGATCAATAAGAGATGATCCTTATGGACCTCTAGGAAGAACAGTTTAGAACTGATAGAGCTATCCAGTATAAATAAAGTTAGTTTAGTTTAGGTTTCCTCCTGTAGTAACACTGGATCAATAAGAGATGATCCTTACTGGACCTCGAGGAAGAACAGTTTAGAACTGATAGAGCTATCCAGTATAAATAAAGTTAGTTTAGTTTAGGTTTCCTCCAGTAGTAACACTGGATCAATAAGAGATGATCCTTACTGGACCTCTAGGAAGAACAGTTTAGAACTGATAGAGCTATCCAGTAGAAATAAAGTTAGTTTAGTTTAGGTTTCCCCCTGTAGTAACAGTACTAACACTGGATCAATAAGAGATGATCCTTACTGGACCTCTAGGAAGAACAGTTTAGAACTGATAGAGCTACCCAGTATAAATAAAGTTAGTTTAGTTAGGTTTCCTCCTGTAGTAACACTGGATCAATAAGAGATGATGCTTACTAGACCTCTAGGGAGAACAGTTTAGAACCGATAGGGCTATCCAGTATAAATAAAGTTAGTTTAGTTTAGGTTTCCTCCTGTAGTAACACTGGATCAATAAGAGATGATGCTTACTGGACCTCTAGGGAGAACAGTTTAGAACCGATAGGGCTATCCAGTATAAATAAAGTTAGTTTAGTTTAGGTTTCCTCCTGTAGTAACACTGGATCAATAAGAGATGATGCTTACTGGACCTCTAGGGAGAACAGTTTAGAACCGATAGGGCTATCCAGTATAAATAAAGTTAGTTTAGTTTAGGTTTCCTCCTGTAGTAACACTGGATCAATAAGAGATGATCCTTACTGGACCTCTAGGAAGAACAGAGTAGAACTGATAGAGCTATCCAGTATAAATAAAGTTAGTTTAGTTCAGGTTTCCTCCTGGAGTAACACTGGATCAATAAGGAATAACCCTTCCGGCTTCAATATACCAATCTAAGCAACGGTATCGCTTTCTAGGAATATTTTACTTCTTTGAACTCCACGACTTCGACAAGAACAAAAAGCTAGATGGTCTGGAACTCTTTGTAGCCCTGACAGACCATCACGACAAAATAAACACGGAACAAGATGACCGGGAGTTACTCGAAGAAGAAGTAGAGTCTCTTATAGACAACTTACTAGATGAACACGACCTCAATAGCGACGGTTATATCGATTTCACGGAACTAATGAACACAGCACCCGACTCACTTTGGAACAAATTGGGCAAAGTTTAATTACCGTGTTCACGAAGCGTTAAAAGACAGCAGATTCAACTTCAAAATTGTCAACTTCAAAAATATTGACATTTTGTAGAGCGAAGATATCAAGGGCTTGTTAACGGATATAAAATTCTATTTTTGTTCACGCTAGATCCCGCCTTGCGCTAGATGGAATCTTGTTCAAGGGCATAAAATTTGCCATACGAAAGCTCTATCGCACCTGATTGGGACGGACATTTTTGGCCCATTTTGACCTATAGGTTTTTTCCTGTAGTAAGATGGACCAATAAGAGACGATCCTTACCAGACCATCTACAGTTTAGAACTGATAGAGCTATCCAGTATAAATAATGTTAGTTTAGTTTAAACTGTATACACAAAGCATATATAATTTGAAATATTTAATTTTAGCACAAAATTCACTCTATACTTTTTCATAATTCATATAAATACAAATTTTAATAACTCGTGCAAATAGTCGCTTTAAAAATACTATATAGATTTAGGCAATTCTTTTGCGTACAAAAATTTACAGTTTCTAAACACTCTATTATTATCATTGGAAACACACAAACGAACACTTTGTATTTGTAAAGGTCCGCCGTGGTTTGTGTCTGGACTACATACGGAAAAACGCGCAAGTTCTGATCTGCTAACAAGTTGTAGCAAGGTTGTTGTGAAGCCGATATCAGGATGTGTTCGCACTGCTTGTTCCCAGTTGTTGTGACAAGTCTGGAACAAGTTGTTATCACCTTGTTACAAGGTTGATGGCGGTAACAGACTTGCTACAAGTTATTCCAACAAGACTAATACAGGCTGTTCGTAACAAGTTGCTACGAGCTTGTTGTCATCAACTTGTTAACAACTTGTTACGTGCAGACGATATCAGACTTGTTGGAACAACTTGTTGCGAGTCTGTTGGCCTCGTCAACCTTGTTACAAGATGATATGAATGTCTTTTGTGCTATTCCTTTTGTTTTAGAATCTTTGTCAAAGCCAGTTACTTCGCGTAGCGGTAAAGCATCTCATGGCGAGCGATTTTCAATTTTGTATTTTACCTTCTGAAGATAAACAGGAATTGGTAAGAAAAATGTTTACCATCGCGTGATTTAGTTTATTGAGGCCAACAGACTCGCAACAAGTTGTTCCAACAAGTCTGATATCGTCTGCACGTAACAAGTTGTTAACAAGTTGACGACAACAAGCTCGTAGCAACTTGTTACGAACAGCCTGTATTAGTCTTGTTGGAACAACTTGTAGCAGAAGGTGATAACAACTTGTTCCAGACTTGTCACAACAACTGGGAACAAGCAGTGCGAACACATCCTGATATCGGCTTCACAACAACCTTGCTTACAATTTGTTTGTAGATCTCTAACAACTTGTGCGTCTTTATACGAGGGTAGTTCAGACACAAACCGTAACACTTCGTAATTGCATATTGATGAATTCTGCACGATCAAGAATGGTAATGACGCGAGCTTCGAATGACTATGTCTATTTTTCAATAATGGTAAATAGCGCCGTTTGAATCTATATAAAGGAAGAATTATCGAAGGTAGAATAGTAAACATTGTCTATTCTTAAAGGACATTGGCAATAAAAAAATTACTTTCTCTCATTCAAAAGATTACATATTAAACTATAGTACCGATTTGTCATATATTGCTTAGTTCTCGAAATATTTAGACCGAAATTAATGGGTTGTCGTCATCTTGGACTAATTCTTGACCTCATTAACTATGGTTTTGATGACGTCAGGAGTTGGGTTAACCATATAAAACTACTCTAAAATGACCGTGTAACAATCCAAAATTGTTTGAAATGTTTTTAATCATTTCTAAATTTCAGACAGCAACCGGAAACGAAGTTTTGGACCCATATTGATCGCTTACTCTCAAGATAAAAAATTAGCGTGACCCCTCTCTTGACGTAACATGCATATCCTCAATAATCCAAGATGGCGAACAGCTCACTTTTTTCAGTCGAAATACTTTGAAAACTAAGCAAGATATAAACAATCTGTAATAGAGTTTATTATATAGTTTTAAGAGTTCTTTCAAATGAACTAAACTATTTCTTCATTGCCAATGCCCTTTAAGGGAAACCTCAATTTTCGTAGCGAGCGTTTGTGAATTCAGATTCTGAACTTCGTATTGAAATGACATGTTCTACATCGAATTAAATAGCAGATGAACTACAAAATGTAGCTGAGAAAATGCATATCAAAGTATTCAACTGTTCAAATCATTATTTCTGAATATGCAAAAAGTTGCTTAAAGAACAATTAGTTCCCGCACGATTGAGTCGCTTTAAATTAGAAAATATAATCCCTTATAAACTATATATTGATAATATGAAAACTTTTCGAAATATTTACGTTTGAAATTCAATTGAAATAATTTTTGCGCGAAATACGGGCGCGTCACGCGCATTGCTAAAGTTCTCAGCATTTTTGTTGTTTCTCTATATTTTCCGCTTTAAAAGAGTAATATTGAAGCATAAACTGGTCTAATTGTTTTAAAAACATGCCTAAGCCACGACAAAGTATTCAAGGTAAATGTTTTTCGTCTTTGTTTTGTATTTTTTTTAACATTTGTGGTTACGAAATTTGGCGTCGCCAATTTTAACGAAATTTGCGATGCATTTTTCACTGTTCAGTACTTGAAATATTTGCTAAAATTGACTGGGAATACTTAGAGATTTCATCGTAGAATGACGTAGTTATATTTATTTGCTCTTTGACTAAAATGTTTATCTGTATTATTGCTAAACATGCCGTTTTTGAGAATTTGGTTTGCAACTAGGTTTGAACATCCAACCACGCCATCAGCCCATTGAAAACATTAGGTCACGTCAGCTAGTTTCCTATCCATTTATTTTATTTGGAGAGTTTTGCCCAGTGTTTATCGAAATATCAAGGATTTAAAACTGTGTGGGGATTGTCAAATGCCTCATGTAACCGAACTAGAAAGTGAGATTGGTCTTACTACAGGGTGTAACAAAAAACCTGCAAACCGTTTGAAATACAATGTTTTTAGAATTTGCATGATTCAGAACTAATTGATCCCAAGCGTGCGTAAACACAATAGTCGACCATTCGCAGTCGAACTGATAATTAGCTTTCGCATTACAACTACTTTGTGTTATTCTAATTTCTATAACGCGGTTAATTACAATGTATTTTCAAATCCCAGGAGCAAAATAAGTAGCACAGACATTGAAATGCTAGTAAGCAGCAGAATTATGCAAATTATAGTGTTTGCGGGTTTTTTGATACACAATGTATATTACTGTATGTAGTGTACCCCGTGTTTGTATCTTGATAAAAGTTTTCGTTTTTCCTTCGTCTGCAAAATAAACGAATTTGATTCAACATTCATTGTACTGGTCAAAATCTGAGCGAAATTGGTTGTTGAAACACAGGCCACAATTTCAACTTTTGCGAATAACGCGCGCAACGTGTCTCATGACGTTAAATGTAGCTTCACACAAAAGACACAATATGCTACTACAAAAATGATTTAATGACAATTCTATTCTGGCTATAAGGGCGCTTTCCATTTAATGGCCTGACCGGTCAGCCCGAATTTTTATCTCTGTATCAATGGAAAGATCTGTTCTATGTTTCTCAAATATCTAGCGAAAATGGACCTCATTCTAATTTTATCTAAATTTTCCGGTCAGATAGGTCGGAGACGTCCAAACGTTTTGTGTTTCATTCAACAATTTGACCAGAACGGCCCTATGTGAAACGGAAATGATAATTCAACAGTTCAATACTTTGACATGCATATATTTAATGTTTCCTCAGCGACATGTTATCATTCAACTGCAATTTATACAGATATTCGGCCTCTTACTAAGTTAATCTCGAAAAGAAAATATTTTTTTATGAATACAGACATATAATTTACCATAATTCATCCTTAATTCGAAACGGCGCTGAAAATGATACCCATGTATTTTTGTCGATGTATTTATTTTATTAAATAACGTCGGAAATGTGTCGTTTTCCTTCGACAACTTTCCATAACTGACCTTCCTCGCCGTCTTCGTCCTCGACGAGATCTTCCCCAAAGACACCATTTGTTTCTAAATCATTTTTCACCTCATTTTCCCTCGATATCAAGAGATGTTCTACATTCGCCCATAATTCTGCATCATGTTTTGATCCCTCGAAACCATTAATGTTCCCATGCAATGAATCACCAGTATCCCTCTGAGAACCATTAATATCACTTGAAGTACCACCAATATCCCTTGAAGTACTAACATGATCCCTCAAGGTACCACCAGTGTCCCTTGAAGTATCACTACAAGTATCCCTCAAAGTGATATATGTTTTCATTGAAGAACCATCATTACCCCTCAAAGTACCATTAATGTTCCTTGAAGTACCATCAATATCTCCAGGAGTACTGCGAGAATCCCTTGAAGTACCATACGTGTCCCTCGAAGTACAGTCAATATCCGTCGAAGTACTATAAGTGTTCCCTAAATTATTTCGAATATCCCTCGAAGTACACCTCAGAATATGACCAGTGTCCTCATCGCATATTTTCTGGCCTATGTTCTTGTGGTCGACATCAATTCCGTGTTCTCTTAAAATCAACGACAAAAACATTTCTTAATGGGAAGAGTGGTATACTTTGATTTGATAAACCATATCGAAAATTAAAATCTGATGTTTAATATGAAGATAATTTAGAGTCCAAAATCAGTACATATATAACAGAGTTTAAATATAAGTACTAAAGCAAACTTACTAGAATCAGCCACTAAAATATCGGTCCGGACGCAAACATTGTCCAAACCCATTCGTAAAATTGTCCGACGCCGAGAGGAAACCACTGGACTTAAATAAAACTTAAGTTTATTGTTTGTCCGACCCGAGTGAATCGGTGTCCGACCTAACTGTAACTTTATCCGATGTAAATCAAAATGTACTCTAGTCCAGGACTAGAGGCTCGTATGTTAAATGGACAATCAGAGTAATGTATAAAAAGTGAACTGGAAATGTTTAATCAAGTGCGGGATTTTCACCGCGGCGTTCGGAAATTCATTGCCAAGATTCAAGAGACTTTTCCAAATTGTACTGATATTAATTTGCGTCTGTATTCATATTTATTTCCAAGCCAAACTGAACTCAAAGTCATCGGATATTACAATACAAATGTTCGACCGAAACTCGAATTAAGTAATCGAGCATTTTGTCAGACGTTTCTCTGACCGATATTTTAAGGTAGATAGTATATTTGAACTTCCATGGCAGCATACACTGAATTGCAGAAGTTTTACATAATGATTAGATAGATCAAACGGACTGACGTGAAGCAGACCGAGGTAGACTTTGAGCTTACAAATGGCGCTTGAGCAGCCGCTATTAGTCCATACCTCATTAATGATCTGCCTCCAGACCTTATGTGCCTAACCCACCCTGTCAACTTTCCCTGTGGGAGGAAACACGGAGTGCCCGGAGAAAACCCACGACTTTCGGCAGAGCGTTGACTTACTCTTTTCACATTAGGACTGCGTTCCAGTCACAATGAGAAGTCCTCATTGAGATTCGAACCTGCGACCTTAGAGGTGAAAGGCAAGTGCGCTAACTACTTCGCCACCGAAGCCCCATCTGTAGAATTGTAGAGATTTTGGTAGATGGAAATTTACTACGTCTACTAAATTTTATAAATTTACTAGAGAATGCAACTATATAGGTCCTCTGGCCTGAATCAAATCAACGCCCCGCGATTTCGCTGCAGCGCTCTAAGAATTCTAATTCAATTCTAACTTACTAGAATTGTCGATTGGCCGAAGCACGTCATTTGAGATTTCATTTTTACCATCCAATGAATCTTTTCCTAAATTTTCAAGCAATTGTTGGTTCTCCTTTTGTAGATCAATGTCTTTCTCCGGGCTAGGACTGGCCCGCGATTTTTCCTTGACTTTTTGTAAGATTTCTGATACTGTACTTGAATGACATTCATCTGATAATTTCGTGGAGAGGTCCTAACAGAGAAAAAAATCCCAATGTGCTTATATTGTAATGGGCAAGGTATTTTAGCACAGTTTATAACTGACAGAGCTATCCAGTATACATAAAGTAAGAATAGATTAGGTTTCCTTCTGTAGTAACACTGCACGGATCAATAAGAATTAAATGATCCTTACTAGACCTCTAGGGAGACCAGTTTGGAACTGATAGAGCTATCCAGTATAAATAATGTTTAGATTAGGTTTCCTACTGTAGTAACACTGGATCAATAAGAGAGGATTCCTCTAGGGAGAACAGTTTAGAACTGATAGAGCTATTCAGTATAAATAAAGTTAGTTTAGTTTAGGTTTCCTCCTGTAGTAACACTGGATCAATAAGAGATGATCCTTACTGGACCTCTAGGGACTAATATTTACTTAGCATAAAGTAAAGTTAACGAAACGTTTGGGGTGTAAATCGGTTCAAAATACCTCTAAAGATGAATAACTTTCAGCTTTCGTCATATTACTGTTCACAGTCGATGTCATTCTTGTCCTGCTCATAATCATTTCAACTCTCTGAAATTTTACGCAACAATAATTATTATTTAGCAAACGCGTCAGCATGTACAGTCTAAGAGGCTGCTCCATTTACTGATGTTCTAGAACACTTGGAACACTGTTCTGGAGTGCACACGGTGTTCTGGAATAGTGTTTGGTTTATTATATATGCGTGCAACCATGCATTGCTGGATCGATAAGAGATGATCCTTACTGGACCTTAAGAAGCCACGATTGCAATTTTAGATCACCCCTGATGAAGACACTAGACTGGAGTGTCGAAACGTTGGGTCTTGATTACAATTCGACTGGGCTTTGTAATCATTTATTCAAACCAGAGTAGCGAGCGAAACATGATTGATATACCTGGTTGCAGTGAACGAACAAACTTTAAATTCATTACAGTAGTTACACGCATTGATTTGTGAGCTCACGAGAAGATACTCAGAATGTTTTAGTTCAATATTATGGTATTCTTGGGTTTCATATAACGTCACAACAGTGACGGAGGGTCAACTCTAAAACAAAACACAGTTATCAGACTGAGTCGATTGTTCGTTTATGTATTAGCCTTGTGTTTGGTAGCAAATACATGGAAGTTCGTATCATTTTCTCACTCCAGTACAGCATAGGCATCAATACATTTGAGGTTGACCCCCGTCAGATTCACTGCATAATGCCATAGTGAAACCCAAGAATATAAATGCGTAAACATGTCGAGGTTGTTATACAGCGATATTTTCAAATATACTGTACTTTAACAAGCAAATTTACCGTACTGTGCTACAGCAACTGTCCAATCACGCGTACGTGATAAAAAGCCGATATAAACTTTATAAACAAAAGATAATGTAAAAAGTAACAGAACGGCGAACATGCAGATTTGGCCATCTCAAATAAAGGTAATGTTGGGATAGTAGCGTTGCAGACTGCAGAGGAGAGTGGGCAGTAAGGCTCCCTCATGCACCACCCCATGGAAAACCTGCACCCCTTCTTGCAGATGAGCCTAGATCCGTCCCCTGGGTCATAATCGTGCCATTATACCTTTCGTCTTTCTTGTCGTTCTATTTCTTCCCTTTGCAATCTTTCCTCCTCTTCTTTCTCACGCCGTTCGGCTTCTGCAGCCCTTCGTTCCATTTCTTGTCGTTTTAAAACTTCCATTTCCTCTTTGTGTTTTAATTCTTCCGCTAATTTCTCCGCTTCGACTTCGGCCTCTTTCTCGCGCTCTTCTCGAAGCAGTTTGGCGCGTTCGTCCTGTTGTTTTTGAAGTTGTACGGCAAGCTCTGCTTGTCTAGCCATTTCTTTCGCTAAAATAAATACAGACAGATATTTGCTGTGTTGGTGTAATGTACTCAGGTGAATAAGATGCTTGTGATGTTACTCTGAGTGTATATCCACACCGGGCAGGCTTGAAAAATATGCCTGGCCACGGTGGGAATCGAAATTGGATTCGAATAGCATTGGGCTAGTATTCCAAAGGTCGTCGGTTCGATTCCCACCGTGGCCAGGCATATTTTTTCAAGCCTGCCCGGTGTGGATATACACTCAGAGTAACATCACAAGCATCTACAGACAGATAGTTTAATAGAATTTTACATCGCAGCCTACAATGGCTGGAATGTGTAAAATTTACAAATGATACATATTGAAGTACTATTTAAAACATGAGCAGCATTGTTTTATCAGATATAAAGGTACGAAACGAAGCCGAGTAACTTTAGGTCTGATAAAACAGGCTGAGAATGTTTTAAATTGCTTCAAAAACGATCGATCTATAGTAAGTTTATTGGCGAAGTAATTTTCAAAAAATACGTTGTGTAGGTCGAGAAAATCAAAGTTAAAGTTTATGTACTGTAAATCAAGGGAAATCTCTATCACATATAAAGATACGACACGCTTATGATTTTTCTTTGTGTTTTCCTCGTGAATTATTAATGAGTTTTTGAAAGAGATAAATGACACGCATAAAACATAGCCTTTTGAAGGAAAGATGGCTGTGAAACTCATTAGAATAACAATATAACTCATTATCTATGTTAGTCTACGTTTATTCATAAATTTGGTCCTTCACCGTCACATGTGTATTGTATTTTTGCCAAATCCACCAATAAGTAATTTCCAATTTACCCTATTGTTCGAGTCACGGATAGGTAACTTTCCTAAGACATTGCTATTGGTTAGTTGGGCAAAAATACAATACGCACGTGGCGGTGAAGGACCAGATTTATGAATAAACGTTGACTAACATAGATAATGAGTTATATTGTTATTCTGAGTTTCACAGCCATCTTCCATTCGATAGGCTATGCATAAACATATACACATAAACATATAAAACGTTAAAAATGAATAGTATATCTTCACTATCCTAAGTACTCATTTGATATTGAAAGTATAAAACAATTTTTGTAGCGATTGGTTCGAGTAGCCGCCATTAAAAACCTACCATTCTCCTCAGCCAAACGTTTCTCTTCTTCCTCTCGTTGTCTTCGTAATTCCTCTTGCTTTTCCTTATCCAACAATGCCTTCCTTTCGGCCTCTTCCCGCATTTTCTTGCGATGTTCAGCCAGGGCCCTGCCGGCCTCAGCTTCGTTACTCGTTCCAGCGTGATGTGTCGGTTTCGCCTTGGGCTTCGCCTTTTTACCAGCGGTCGGCCGGGACGTCTTGGTATGTCCGACCTGGTGTATTGCGCCCATCGACTGTGCCTTCGGTATCGAGCTGCCGACGCTTCTCCGAGCAGAGGCCCCTACCTCCGTCCCTTTGTCTTTCGCCCGTTGCCCCGCCTTATGACCTAACCCACCTTCGTTCAAATTATTTGTACTAACACTCGTCTTCTTCAATACCCCTAAATTACCTTTCGGCTTACCAGTGCCTAAATTGCTCCCGAAGCTGTTCAAACTAGACGTAGATGCCGAGCTAGGGCCGGTTAAATTCCGTCTCGTATTCCGAGTGCCTTTTCCCGATCCGGGTGGCGTGTGCCCCTCGCTCGAGCTAGAACTCGAAGACAGCCTCCGCGTCGCCGACGTTTCCCGACGGGGGAAAGTCGTACCATTGCTCGGTACGTTGGGTAATTTCCGACCGGTCGTCTTGGAGGAGGGCTTATGATCTAAAAGATGTCTCAGAGCTTCGTGTTTCGCACGATCTTCGCGTTCTTTTTGCTTCCGTCTGTCCTCGACGGCCGCTTTCCGTTCGGCGTTTTTCTTTTTTCGTTCTTCGATTTGTTTATCTCGTAAAAGCTTGCCACCTTCTCCAGACTTAGTATCTATAATCGAGGAACAAAACATAATAAGAATTGTGACTTTTTACACATTCAATAGCTAAGCTAAATTACGATGTACATACACGAATAATAAGGTTATCTATTTTATTTTTTGTTTAATTTCAGAACCATCCTCAGAGATACGAAAAACTAGTTTCATATTAATCTGACACTGCAATCGAGCAACGAAAAATTCGTTGGCTCGAGCGGGATTTGAACTCGCATCTTCGGGTATCTAAACCGCCGCTCTACCCATTGAGCTATCGAGTCAACAGGGATTGGTAGCGAGTCCTATCCAATTTAAGTGTACGAAATATTTTCGTGACGACTTAACTCGATAGCTCAATAGGTAGAGCGGCGGTCTAGATACCCGAATATGCGATTTCAAATCCCGCTCGAGCCAACGAATTTTTCGTTGCTCGATTGCAGTGTCAGATTAATATGAAACTAGTTTTATTATTTAAATTAAAGGACAATGGCAATAAAAAATTAGTTTAGTTCATTTGAAAGGACTCTTAAAACTGTATATTAAACTCTATTACAGATTGTTCATATCTTTCTTAGTTTTCAAAATATCTCGACTGAAAAAAGTGAGCTGTTCGCCATCTTGGATTATTGAGGATATGCATGTTACGTCAAAAGAGGGGTCACGATAATCGTTTCTGGTTGCTGTCTGAAACTTAGAAATGATTAAAACATTTCAAACAATTTTGGATTGTTACTCGGTCATTTTAGAGTAGTTTTATATGGTTAACCCAACTCCTGACGTCATCAAAACCATAGTTAATGAGGTCAAGAATTTGTCCAAGATGGTGGATACCGACAGCTCATTAATTTCGGTCTAAATATTTCGAGAACCAATCAAGATATGACAAATCGGTAATAGAGTTTAACATATAATTTTAAGAGTTCTTTTTTTAATCATGTATTAACAGTTTTAATTATGTGTAAAAGTGACAATTTCAGACAAGTATACGATCGCGTACACTTCTTAAATCCTTCAGACAATGAACAAACATTCTCCTCGAATCCTGATTCTGAAATATCCACGTATTTATATAACAATCAAACATAAAACATTGATCTAGAAACATCGAGTTCACTTCTCGAATCCCGGATCGCCATCTTACGTCGTTCAGTCCGTCAAATTAGTACGGATATTCTGCATTTTTTGCAGTTCATCTATAAATAGATAATAATCTATACGACAGTATAAATAGTTACGTGACCTTAATCCCAAACTCATTAAGAGGAGATTTTTTTGTATGTTACGTAACACGCGCTCAAAACTAATGCGTATAATATACCACTTGAGGTTATGACTAAATTCAAAATTTTTATTTTTCGATACGTTTCTCAATCGGCAAACAAACTTAAAAAGTATGTTTAGTGCTTTATCTGTAAAATAATGCTAAAATGAAGAGATTTTAGATGATACGCTAAAGAGAAAATGATGTCTGAAGTTCAGTACGTTTTGCTTAAATGGCTGTAAATATAGCGTCAAAGCCGTCAATTTTAAGGCATCATTGATAATTGTATTTTAATTGGCAATTTTTAACTATTATTTTATGTTTCTCAACCGGCAGACGCATTTAAAAAGGTAGCTAACTCTATAAGCTGTAGCGAATAAAGCTAAAACAAAGTAATTTTGA